TTAAAAAGTTTCACGAATACCTGTTCAGGAGGACTTTTGAACTCATTACTGATCACCAACCCCTGCTAGGACTTTTGGCTGGAGATCGCCCCACTCCGGCAGCCATGTCCCCCTGTCTGACTAGGTGGGCTATTTTTTTGGCTACCTACTCGTATCGACTAGTCCACCTCCCGGGTCGGAGCCTTGGGCATGCCGATGCCCTCAGCAGGTGCCCACTGCCGGATTTGCTGGAAGACCCGACTCCTGGCATTCCTATTCTGCTTATTGACTCTATGGACTCTGGGCCTCTCACTTCTGCTGAAGTTGTAAGGGCCTCTGCTAAAGACTGTGTTGCGAACTGTTATTGGCTGGGTCCATAGGGGGTGGCCTGCAGACTCTTTAAACCGTATATCTGCAAACAGCATGAGTTGTTTACTCAAGGGGGTTGTTTGCTGTGGGGTGACCGGTTGGTTGTCCCGATGTGTCAAAGGGAACAACTGTTGGCCACATTACATGTTGGGCACCCGGGAATCGTGAGGATGAAGGGATTTGCAAGGAGCTACATATGGTGGCCCAATATGGACGACAGCATTTCCGAATGGGTGGCCAAGTGTACCCCCTGTCAAGAGTCTTGCCCTGCTCCCCCAACAACCCAGCCAAGGAATGGGAAAGGCCTGGTCACATATTCATATCGATTTTGCAGGCCCATTCCATTGTCAAATTTTTCTCATAGTGGTGGACGCTTATTCTAAGTGGCTGGAGATAATATTAATGCACTCCACCACTGTGGAGGCTGTAATTAAAGTGCTCCAGAAATTATTCGCCACCATGGGCTACCGGACACACTGGTGTCCGATAATGGGCCTCAACTTACAGCTACGCAGTTTGAGGGATACCTAGCGGAGAATGGGGTCCGACACACACTCACAACAGCTTTTCATCTGGCCAGTAATGGTCAAGCTGAAAGATTTGTGAGATCGGCCAAAGAGGCATTGGCCAGACTCAGGCCAGGAGACTGGCAGGCCAGGATCAATACTTTCTTGGCAGCCCAACATGTCATCCCATGCATGGCTATGGGACGAAGTCTGGCTGAGCTCTTAATGGGCCAGAGATTCCGCTGCACCTTAGATAGGCTGCACCCCAATTACTCCCCTGACGGGTACATGGAAGCCGAGAGTAAGGCTAGAAGTTTCTCCATTGGGTCCTGGGTGTTTGCAAGAAATTATGCGGACGGTCCCCTCTGGGTGGCTGAGCAGATCTCTGACATAACCGGGCCCAGGTCTTATATTGTTGAAGTGAGTAACGGAAGGGTATGGCGCAGACATATAGACCAGTTAAGGAAACGCCTGGGCCAAACAATGCCCAATGAGCCAGACTACCAAACAAACAAACCAGTCCCTGACTCACCAATCATTCCTCCAACAGCTAACTCAAACCCGAAGTGGCCGGAGACTTACCTGATGACTTCGGTGTCCAGCGCCGTCTTCTTGAGAAGCCAGGCCCATCCGAAGAGTGCAACGCCCATAAAAAAATCCAGGAGGTTCCATTGGCTGGCCTGGGAGAGACAAAGAGTCCCTCCGACCAGCCCAAATACCTGCCTCAGTCTGAATTGCACAGGTCAACTAGAATCAGGGAACACCCTAGTCACCTGCGTGATTATGTATGTAAATAATTGCCTAAGTGTCTTCTGGGAGGGGAGGAGTGTTACATATCTAATTTTGGAGGGAAAATTAAGCGTGAAAAAGCTCAATGATTATTGGCTAGCACCCTGGGCAAGAAGCTATATAAGGAGAGCTGTTCTACTGTACATTTGCTGGATTCTCACTGTATATTAAAGAGTTGTTGTTCACTTCGACCTGGCTCCTGGCTCCTCACTCACCCGATCTAACACAATGTATTGTGCAAACTCACAAAATGGATTAATAACAATATCTTGTACATACTTAGTTTTTATGGTATATACTCAAATAAGTAACCATATACACTAAACTAAACACAATAATACTTAGATGAACCATACTTTGTAAAGGGATACCTAAGCTTCATCTATTCCAGAGACTTCAAATACTGCATTCCTGTATTTCATCCAAGGGCAAAAACATAGATATTATCTCTCAACGATGAACTCAGTCCAACAGAACAGCCAACATAACTCTTGTCAGCCAAACAAGAGAATATCTCCAAAGAACCAAAAAAACACAGAAATAGAAGAAAAACTATTTTGTTCTTTGGAATGTACAATATATAAAATATATTGCAAAGGTATCATGTAACATTTATTTATTACAATCATTTACATGTTTACTTTAAAGATACAACACCTTTCAACAAACAGTAGATGAAAAATCTCCCCAAAATCCAAAATGCAACATCTTAAAATTATAAGAAATATATAATATACTACTATATTGTAATGTATATAATACACCAGTGGTGGGATTCAAATAATTTAACAACCGGTTCTCTGCCCTAATGATTTCTTCCAAAAACCAATTTGCCAAACTGCTCAGAAAGTTAACAACCGGTTCTCCCGAAGTAGTGCGAACTGGCTGAATCCCACCACTGTAATACACTATTATATTGTAAACACATTCCTGAAAAGTGCTGTGAAAAAGGGAAGTCAACACTTTGAGGTCCAACTAAAGAGAGAGAGAGAAAACAGAGAGAGAGAGAGAGTTGAGCTCAACAACACATTCCAAATTAAGAAGAGCACCAGGAATCAAGTTGTCTATCTGAATTGAAGAAACATGACTCCACAAATTAAGCCAAACTGGTAGGAAAAGACACAGCAGCTTGACTGCTTGTTGGTACAATCAATATTCCATCTCCTTGCTTTCTTCCCTCTCTGTGTTATGCTTTGGATTTTGTTGGACTATCTGTTTGAAATTTGGACTGGAACCTATTTTCTCTGCTCTTTCTTGGATCATTACTGAACTGTCTCTCTGTGCTATCTGAAATGTAACCTTTTGTGTTTTCATTCTTTAAGCAGAAGGTTGTAGTTTGCAACATGTTTGTATTCTTACAATTAAGGATTTATGACTGCAATAAATATTTTATTTGTTTGTAGTTGGTCACTTGGGAACAATACCAGGGAATTGACAGCCATTAGTTCACAGTCCAACTAAGCTCACTGCACATTTGCTTTTTTATCACTGAGAAATTTCCCAAATGACTGCTGGGGAAAAAATCAGATCTATATAGTGCCTGGAGGCATCAATTTAATGGGTCTGTCCTCTACACCAGAGATCAGTGGTGACTATGAATATCACAATAATTGGCTATTGACCAGTGCATGACAACCAACTGATGTTAATGTCCTCTACTCAGATCACAAACTAATTTCAATGAGGTGAAGAGCAGACTGACTTGGACTACAGGAGTTAGTACTGTTATGATTTAATTGTCTTGTAGTCATAAACTCCTGAGTTCACTGATTCGACCTTCACAGAATGGAGGTCCTCCAGCACAAACCACTTGCTAGAGTCAACCTTTAGCCTGGCAATGAGACTGAAGAGGTCAAGGAAGGGGCAAATTGCTGGTATACCATCAAAAACTTCCAGCTACACATATGACCTCAACCTAGTCACCTGCAGAACAATACATCATTGTCAGATTCTCAGGAAATTATTACCACCACCATTACTGCCATATCCTGGAGTTGAGGTTAGGGTACAGAGAGATTATTCCAGATCCCTACCCATCACCTCCACAATCCTTCTATTACTCTTCAACCTTTCAAACATCCTACTTGCCCCTTCACTCCATCTCCCTCCATTTGCATCATTTTAACAGCCTACCTAGAGCTATTCTAGCAGGTAAAAGCAAACTGGCCCTTCTCAGAAAAACTCTAGGTTTTTACCTTCTCCCTTCTCTCCCTGAGAGGAGACACATTTACACCCCAACTCTTACTCTCTGAACTATTTCCTCATGCATAATTTGAATGACTTGACTAGTTTTTAAAAGTAGTTGATAAAGAGGATCCTTCTAGAAGAATATTTATATGCATCCATTACTTGGTGATGTCTTATTGTTAGAGTAGCATTTACTAAAAACCTTGCCTGCCTTTGATCCCTGATCTCATTTGTGACAACTGAAATTTTCACATTCTTAGTTCTTTTGAAGATGATTAGATTGTTGTCCTTGACATATTATGGTTCACTTGGGAAGAACAAACATGTAGTTGATGATGTTGGATCTGTTTGTTCATGCCAGTGCATATTTTATGAGATGTAGTTTAAGGATAACTTTTATATGCTTATTATAAATTCAGTTTATTTGTTTGTAAACATTAAATTATTGTTATGATCTATCTCCTGAATACTTCCAGTTTTTTGGTTTTGTTTTATCTAAAATCCTCTTCAATTGAAGTTGGCCTTACACCCAATTTAAAACTTCTTGATTACCTCAGTAGAATTTATGATACTGCTATGGTTAACAGTAACATGCAGCTATATCAAATAACATGCAGCTATATCAAGAATTGGTCACATGCATTCAATATTATCTTGAGTCCTTCTACCTAATTGCAGCAGTTTCAGCTTATTTGGTAAATTTGGATCTTCTCAATAACTTAGTACTTTGCAATGGTCTTTTCAAAAGTGTTTGTTTCTTTTTCTTATACAAGTTGTCTGGTTTTGTCATACATAACATATTTATTGTTTGTGCAAAGCTTTATGAAGGTTTGTACATAATGAAAAGTGATTTAAAATTCTGTTAAATCAAATATTTGTCATTAATTTCTTCCTCTCCTTGGTCTGGGTTAATATAAAACAGTAATAGTCCTATAGTATAATATTATAACATGACGCAAAGATTACAGAGCCTTTAAATGCACGCTGTTATTTGGTAAAGATCAGAAAAATGGCATCTCTTTCATCTTGGATATCTTTACTTTGAAGTTTCTGCTTTGTTGTAATGCTGTTGCTAGCCTTGCCAGTCAGTTTGAGTGTACCTTTAGTGCAAAATTCAGTTTAGTTGATACATCAAATGATTCTTCTTATTTTATTTCCTTTCTGCAAAAGGGAATTCGTTTTGACCCAGAAATTCCTCAGACGCTCCGACTAGAGTTTGCAAAGGCCAATACGAAGATGGCTAAGAGCAAATTAGTGGGAACTCCTAATCCCAGCACTCCTGCCACTCCCAATGCAGTACCTCAGTTCATTACCAGAGAGCCATGTAAGTGATGGAGTTTCATTGTTAACTTAGAAGACTGATATATGCATCTTCAAGAGCAGAATGTTTAGCAAACAGCAGCACATTCACACTTAGCTTTAGAGGTTTATTTCTGTTTTCCTTGTTGCTATGAAATTGATGAATATGGGGATCTTGGTTTGGGTTTTTTTCAGTCGATGGATCATTTGAATGTTTTTCTCAATGCCTATGTAGGCCACCAGCATGCAGCTCCTCCTTCAACCTCAAAACAAAGCTTTGGTTCTCTGAAGAAATCTTGTCATTTAACCAGGCAACAATTCACATTCTGTAACTTGGGTAATATTTATGGAGTGTTTCTGAGGAAAAAAACTATACATTACAGCAACAGTCTGTGTCTTAGAATGAATTGCCCCATGATGTGTGATGGAAATGTGTACATTTGAGTGGGATGTGTATGTTTTCCTGGTCATGGGTGTCCAAAGAGGTTTCTTACTTTCATAAAAATGCTGGGTGAGGCTTGCAATGTAACACAGACTTCGTCAGTTTCACCTTCCATCTGTGGACATTGCTGCCATACACAATCATGGCATTTCCTTTAAATCTTCGGTCAAATTGCTTTTTTCCTCCTAGACATCCCCTAGTGCACATGTCAGGGAATAAGAGAAGAATATAGAAGAGTAATTAATAAAGCAAGGATGTAGAGGCTAATTTATGAATTGTTCTTGCATAGAAACTTCTATGTATATACCCTGGATCAGGGCATTGCTCACAAATTATCTAGAGTCAGAATGTATAATCAAATGATCAAGCTTGCCAGGGATGACAAATTATTCAAAATGGCAAAATTGTTTCTTATGAAAATATGCTTGCAAATTTGCATGACTTGCAAAGAGAGCATGTCCACACTGCATTTCATTTTGCTATATTAGCTTATTAAGTAGCTTATTAAGATGGAGCAGCTAAGGATTTTGCTGTTGCTTCAGGTAACAACAAAATTGCATCCAACGCACCAACAGCATTTTTTGTTTGCGTCAGAATGGCAAAATAAGGATGATACTATGGTGCATCGTTAATTAATAGAACTGTAGAGTTTGATCAGACCTCTGCAATATACAATATATGAAAACTAATTAAACTATCTGGTTTAATCCGCTTCTTTCCAAAGATGGAGAATTCATAACCTCTATTAGTAGTTTGTTCTATTGTTATACAGAATTTACAGGCAGGATATTTTTCTTTATTTTTCTTTATTATTATTATTTATTTATTTTTATATGCCGCCCTTCTCCAGAGACTCAGTGCGGCTTACAATGCGTTAAGCAATTCATTTAGATTTAAATGAAATTTTAAATGTAATTATACCCATTATTTCTGGTTCCACTTTCTGTAGCATTGGAAAATAGTTTCTGTGTGCCTGAATATTGATATCATATTGATATTGATATCATGTCTCCCCTCGGTCTTTTTCTTTTCCACAATTTGAAGAACTCCACGTAAGACATGTCCCCATATCTTCTTTATTGTCTTTGTTGTCTTCCACTGACCTTTTCTAACTTGTCAATATCCTTCTGGAATGTGGTACCCAGAATTGTGGAAGGTAGTCCAGGCGTGATCTCACTGCTTGTCTCACTTACAACTTCCTTCCTGAAATTTATTTAGGATTTTTTTCCCCCTATTTTATTCTTTGTTTTATTAGAAACTATTTTTTCTCCTGCCTAAAATAATCTCATACTCTGTATTTAGAAATATTGATTTATGAACAGCTCTGACAATTATCAGGGACTACCAAATTTGCTAATAAATACTTCTATAAAACCATATCCCATATGTTCCTTGGCTGGCTATTTGCTGTCATATGGTGTGGAATGATGGGGGTTCTGAAAAGAAAATTTGAAACTAAGCAAACAGATCTGGTAGATGTTTATGTAATTTTGCATATTTTTCCGGTTTATAGTTTGCTGGTTAGAATTGTGAAAGAAGTAGCTTGAGAAAGCAAATGAAATGTTCAGACATTTAAGACTTCCAGTTTTGGTAAAGATTTTATTTAATGGAATGACTGAATTGTTATCTTTGTAACTGAAATCAAAAAATAGTTCTTGCTCGCAATGTGCTTGTTTGTTTCCTTTGCGGCAGAATTGTCCCTGAACGAGTAGAATTTTGCATGACTTTAGTTTTGCCAGAAACAACAGTAGGACAAAATAAACAAGAGAACAGACCATAAATAACAATGAGTTTTATCCTGCTGTCTTAAATTCTCTTAAAACTATCTTCTGTCTTCATAGATCCATGTAGTTTAAAACCATAACAGAGAATGTGCACCTTGATCTGACAATTATGGTTTTGTTATTAAGTCAGTATAACTTTTTCAGAACAGCTTTGATAACTTGCACACCCCAATTTCTTTATTTTCACAATTTAGTTTGAAAGTTCCCTTAAGAAACCTAAAGTTAATATTTAGTGTAGTAGCATCGGTATTTTACTCCATCTTTGTATATTGGACTGGATAGATTCTCTGCTTCCCCAGAAGCTTACAGCTTAAATGTCAGCAGAGGAAAGACAACAGAGAAAGAATGAAATGCTAGAGGCAAAAGTAATAGAAGAAAGTGTGAGTACAGCTGCATTGTTTTGAAAGTTTCCAAAAGTTTTATTGGAATAGAAAAGAGTCTGGGAGCTTGGATGTACAAAAATGCTCCTTGGTGTTGCTTTCTTGTTAAACTCCTCCCATGTGACATCTTATGGATGAGGTTAGGGAATGGTATGAGTGTATTTATAAGCTTGTTCCCTTCCCAACCTTAGGAATGACCACAGGCCTTTGGAATGGATGATAAAGGGAAGGTTGTTTGCTTTAGCTCTTGCCAACCTTTTCTTGTTTATCTTACTTTCAAATTGATAGCATGCACACTTAATCTTTTATACAGTATAATTAAAATGCATCTTTGTCAGCTCCACTGAAATAAAACTCTTTAGGCTATTCTTGAATGTTTCTCTGTTGTTGGCATAGGGTGTGAAAAGAGAGGATTTTAAAAAGGGACATAAAGTTGGTTCTAAATGAAGTCTCTTGCAGTGAGTTTCTCTTTTGTCTGTAGATAAAACACTTGCCATCACATTCAGGCTCAGGTTCCCCTGGCACATATGTGCTAGTCGTTCCCGACTCTAGGGAGCGGTGCTCATCTCCGTTTCAAAGCCGAAGAGCCAGCGCTGTCCAAAGACATCTCCGTGGTCATGTGGCCGACATGACTAAATGCCAAAGGTGCATGGAACACTGTTACCTTCTCACCAAAGGTGGTCCCTATTTTTCTACTTGCATTTTTTACGTGCTTTCGATCTGCTAGGTTGGCAGAAGCTGGGACAAGAAACGGGAGTTCACCCCTTTACGTGGCCCTAGGGATTTGAACTGCTGAACTGCCGACCTTTCGATCGACAAGCTCAGCGTCTTAGCCATTGAGCCACCACATCCATTAGGGATACACAAATTGTTAAGCTAATAGTATTAGGAAGGATCAGGGAAGGTAGCTCGGTCTGAAAGAGAAAAAGGAGGAGAACCTGTCACAGGCCTATTCTTGAGCTGCTGCTCTCAAAAGTGTGAGTAATAGTTGTAACAGCAGCTTTTTCCATCTGCTGCTTCCTGTTACTATTGTCTCCCCCAGTTGTTCTGTTTCTTGGGATCTCTCTTGGAGGGTTTCAATAGATGCTGTACTGTATAATGACATCTGTCATTAATGACAGATTTGTGATAAAGTCGTGTTCCACTGTTTTGTATCAGTTCAGAAATGCCAATAGTTTGTGATAAAGCAAAATTGAGATTGAATTAAAGCTAAGTAAAGATTCTTTTTCTAGTCAATAGATTACAAAAATATATCTTAGTACCTCTCAGGAAAGACAAGCAAACTTATGCGTTCTATCCTGATTCTTACGTGTTTTCCATCTTTTCTTGTGGCATTTGATAGAGATGTTTGTTAGATGGCGCACTAAAAATGACAGGCTCAGTGATGGAAAGGGTAAATTAGTGCCAAGGATTATTAGGGAAGGACTTGATAATAGGCAGAGATACTATCATAACTGACAAAATTGCATTTGAGTTACTGCATATTGTTTGCCCCATGTCAAAAAGTAGATCAGAGAATTGGAAAAGTTGCAGAAAAGGGCAATTACAATGATGAGTTAGTTATAAAATCTTCTGTTCAAGGAAAAAATGAAAAAAATGAAGCTGATATCATGATTCATTGTCCCTACTTTGTGTCCTTGTTTCTTAGAGGAAAACAAAGCAAGTAGAAGCAGTGGCTTTAAGTAGTTGGCCCCGATAAATAGCTTTAACATGAAGGTTTAATATTGCAAAATTTGAATCACATAAACATACTCCTTGGTCTGTGATTGACATTTTGTATGCATTGTTTTGATAGATCTAGATTCCTCCCCACTTTCTCCAGATTCTTAATAGATGATTATTTTCATTAGGTAGCTCACACAAAATAATTATTGATTAAAAATGAAAGTTCTGTTTGTTTCAAAACAGCTGAACAGATTTACAATGACAAAGCTATTGGGGCTTTAAAGGTTTAATTGTGCCAAGCAAACAATAAACAACCAGACTCGATGCATTAAAGGCTGCTTGTTTAAATGGATGCAAATTTTTGATATAATACAATAATTAATAGACAATGACAGGAATTTCAATAGAAGAAAAACATATCACATTGAATATTAGGGAAAAATCTGGTTTTATTGCTGGTATATTCGTATTGATTACTAAAATGGATAATTCCTTGTCTAATAATTGTTGGAAATGTAATGACCAGGCTGGATCATGGTTCTATATTGGGTTGGAATGTTGCAAAATTCAACAATTTCTGAATGTGATTTATAAATAATAGAATGAAACAAAGTTTAAAAGCTGATTTTCCTTTTCCACTTGATACTTTTAATTAAATATTACTTTTCCATAAAGTGCATTGAACTAATTTTGTGCATGATAATTGCTGCATGGATACTTTATGCCTCCTAAATAGAAATGCCTACAATTCTTA